ACCCTAGAAAAAATTTTAATGCCCAACCACCACTTTAGAATATTAGATGGAGTTCCATGAGGTTAAGTAACTTGCCCTGGTGTTAGTAAAGTATGATACAAATCTAAGACATCCTGACTTCAAATTGTTCTTTCCACCACAAAACGCATGCATTTGCATAAATCATCCAGAGGGGGTGCTAATATATACTTCAGGGTATTTATTGCATAAGTATATAGACATATACTAAGATTATATGTACATAGATATATTAAATCATCGTTAAAATCAACAGCTTTTAGGCTCCAGTTGCTACTAGTCTTTTTAAATCATTTTATTGGGGGCTCATACAGCTCGTCACAATCCATACATACATCCACGTGTCAAGCACATTTGTACATTTGTTGTCATCATTTTCAAAACTTTTTTTATACTTGAACCCTTGGTATCAGCTGCACATTTTTTTCCCTCCCTCGTGAACTCTTGATAATTTATAAATTGTTATTTTTTCATGTCTTACACTGACCGATGTCTCCCTTCACCCACTTTTCTGTTGTCCATCCCCCTGGAAGGGGGGTTATATGTAGATCAAAGTGATCAGTTCCCCCTTTCTCCTCCCACCTTCCCTTTCCCCTCCTGGTATCACTACTCCCATTGGTCCTGAGGGGTTTATCTGTCCTGAATTCCCTGTTTCTAGTTCTTATCTCTACCCGTGTACATGGTCTGGTCTAGCCAGATTTGTAAGTTAGAAATGGAGTCATAGTGAGGGGAGGAAGCATTAAAGAACTCGATAAAAGTTGTATGTTTCATCAGTGCTACACTGCACCCTGACTGGCTCATCTCTTCCTTGTGACCCTCTGTAAGGGATGTCCAATAGGCTACAGATGGACTTTGGGTCTCCACTCTGCACTCCCCATCATTCACATTGATAATATTTTTTGTTTTGGGTCTTGATGCCTGATACCTAATCCCACTGACACTTCATGATCACAGAGACTAGTGTGCTTCTTCCCTGCGGACTTTACTTCTCAGCTAGATGGCTGCTTGTTTATCTTCAAGCCTTTAAGACCCCAGACACTTTATCTTTTGATAGCCAGCACCATCTGCTTTCTTCACCACATTTGCTATGCGCCCAGTTTGTCTTCAGCGATCTTGTCAGTAAGGTGAGCATCACGGAATGCCACGTTATTAGAACAAAGTGTTCTTGCGTTGAGGGAGTACTGGAGTAGAGGCCCAATGTCAGTCTGCTACCTTAATACGTAACATATAAAAATATGTACGCCTATATTTAGACCTCTATAAATGCCCTTTGCCTCCTAGTGCTTTCCTCTATTTCCTTTCCTCCTGTCCCACTATCATGCTCAGCCTTCATTTGGGTTTCAGTAATTCCTCTGTTACATTGCCCTTGATCAAGCCTTACCAGCATCCAACGCCCTCCTCGCCATCGATTTTGATCACTTGTTGCCTTGTCCCTGGGTTTAACACCCACTTCCTTTCCCCCTTTCACTTGTCCCCCCAAATCTTCGGTTCTGTTGCTTTCTCCTCTGGATTGTTTATCCCACCTATCTTACCTAGATAGACATATAGAGACACATAAGCACTAAAACAAGGCAGAGCAAGACAAAAGAAAAAAGCCAATGACAATAACCAAAGAAAAGTTCCAGGTCTGTTTGTTGACCTTTAGGAATGTTTTCCAGTCAAGTCTGCTGGGGTGCCACACCCTGACCCCAAAGTATTTTTGGTATACCCCAGGGACATCATTGCTTTGCTCCCCTTGCTGCTCTGTTACATACCCTTTACATTTCACCCTGGTGTGGTGGGGTCAGATCGGGCACAATTCCCACACTCTGCCTCGTGTTGTCCCTCATAGCAATATGGGTCCGTAAAAGGATGCCTTGTCTCGTGGTGGGGCCAGGTCTAGGGTCCTGTCTGCGCATTGGCTGCTCTGAGTAGGAATATCATCCTCAGGGTTTGGTGGGCCAAGATGTGTTCCACTCCCTCCTTACCTCTTCATTAGCTCGTGTGCACTGATCAGACACACCCCTCTCCCTGAGCTGTAGCTTCAATGCTGTCCTCTAAAGTGAATCCTAGGGGGAGGGGTGTCCACATAGTTGGAATTGGGGCTGACCCCACATTAGTAGTCTTATGAACACAGTTCAAACCTAATATAGTTTTGCAGGAGGAAGAAATTTCTCTCTTTTAACACCTTCTTTGTACCTCTTTGAAGGTGTATACCAAATCGCCAGACTCGCTGCCATTTAGTTGATTCAAACTCATTGCAACCCTATAGGGCAGGGTGGAATGCCTGTGTTTCTGAGAAGGTAACGCTTCCTGGAGTGGAAAGACCCATCTTTCTCCCATGGAGCGGCTGGTGATTTCAAACCACTGCCCATGCGGTTAGCAGCCCAGAGTAACTGCTATGCCCCTAGGGTTCCTTTGGAAGGAATGAGTAGTATGAGTTTCATGATACTACATACATATATATTTTCCTCTTTATGCATATATACTTCTATAAACATGGAATGGAAAAGTTCAACATAAAAATTTTGCTTTTACGAAATAAAAGTTTTCATTCCTTTTAGGGGGTGCTTCAAACTGTAAGTAAAAGATAAGGCTGTCTACTCCCATAAAAGTTTACAACCTTAGAAACCCTGCATAGGGCCGCTGAGTCAGAATCGATGATGCTGTTGGATAAGTATTGGACTGCTAACTACAAAGTCAACAGTTCAAGCCCACCAGCCACCAGCTGGAGAAAGTTGAGGCTGCCTCTCTGGAAAGATTTAAGACACCCTGTGTACAGTGCTGAGTCAGAATTGACTCACTGGCCAGTGGGTTTATTTTTTAGGGTACCAAAGTCTATGGACCAGTGCTAATGGAAGGATAAATGAGATTTTTGCTCTGGGCAAAAATCTGCTACAAAGATCCCTAAAAGTGTGAAAGATCAAAGATGTCAAAATCAGGAGCCAGGGGAGCTTGCCCCAAACTATGGTGTTTTCATTATTCTTGTCTGCATGTGAAAAATGGTTAATGAATATGAAAGACTGGAGAATGGATTCATCTGAATCATGGCATTAGCAAAGAATATTTAAGTTATTGACTGCCAGAATAATGAACAAATCAGCCTTGACGTGCAGACAGAATGTTCTTCAGAAGCAAGGATGGCAAAATGTCATTTCACATACTTTAGTCATGTCAGGAGACCAGTCCCTAGCAAAAGGCACGGAGCTTGCTAATGCAGAGGGCAGGGAGGAGAGAGAGACTGACACAGTGGCTGCAGCAGTGGGCTCAATTAGGATAGCCCACGACCGGGTTGGGTTTCCTTCTGTCGCACATCGGGTCGCTGAGTCTGCATCAATGCAAGAGCACCTAACAACACGGCACCAAAAAGCCCTGGTAGTGCTGTAGTTAAGCACTCAACTGGAGTTCAAACCCACCTGCTGAACCTTTGGAGAAAGATGAGGCTGTATGTTCTCATAAAGATTTATAGTCTCGGTTCCTAAATGTTTCCTCCCCGCTCCCACTACCATGACTCGAATTCGACCTTGAAAGTCTGGCTAGACCA